ATATAATGTGAAGTAGGAGTCAAAGTTGACTTTTCCTATATGGATATAGAGATAATTCAGCACCATTTACTAAAAAGACATTTTTTTCCACTATGTTGTAGGGGTTCCTTCATTGTAAAAGAGATAAATGTTTTATGTGTGAGTCTGCCTCTCAATTTTCTTTTCAGTTCCAATGTGCCAATACCACATGGATTAATTGTGGTAACATTATAGTAAATGTTAACAACAGTAGTGTTACTCATCCCAATTTGTCTTCTTCATAATGGTTTTCATTGTCCATTATTTCTAATATTCTCTCTTGCGCATTGTTTTTACTTCATTGATATTTGCATTGACACCTATAAAAATAAACTTCAGTTTGTCATTTTCCTTGGCTTCCTAAAACAGATGATTAGATTATTCATTCTTATTCTTGATTCTTTTCCAACATCTGCATTGAAGTGTATATGGTGTGTGTGTATATATAGTATTTTACTCTTAAGTCTGCCTTAGCATTTAACACATTTTGTGTCATGTTTTGTTATCATAAAATTTAAAATATTTTCTTATTTTCATTGTTATTTGTTTTGGTTCCATGGGTTACTTAAAGCACATTGCTGAACTACAAGCAATTATAAACTTGCTGGCTATTTTTTCTGTTTGACTTCTAGCTTAATTCCACTAGGTGTTTTCAATTATTTGAGATATGCTGATGCATTCTTCATGACCCAGAATATGATTCATTTAAAAATAAGTGTTGCATACTCCTTGGCTGATTAATACAATATCTGCATTGCAAGGAATCTATTTCTATTGTTTGGTTTTGATCCTTTTTCTCTTCTGCATTTGGTCCTATTTCCTACATGACTTTTTAAAATCCTGAAACACTGTAGAGGTCCTGGATTCCGAATATTTAATGTTTTACTGGCAGACCATGAGCAGATTGCTTTGATACAGTTGAGTTTGAGATTCTAGCTGTATTAGGGCTAGTTTATTTCCCAGCCTTAGAGCAGTTACTCCTAGGGTATCACCTTTCTGTGTTCTCAATGAAAGCTGGGTTGTTGACAAGGTCATCTCCACTCTAATGGGACCTGAACCTCATTCTGTATTACTACAGATTGCTGAATGCTGTGCTCCAATCTCTAGCCTCCTAGATTGCCCATTTTATTTGATTTCTTGTGTCTTACCCTACATATGGAAGATTAGGAGTAAGCAAATGCCTTTGAGGAAAAATTGCATGGTAAATGTGTTCTCCAGGAATTGCATTCTCTGCAGTCTTGAACCCCTCAAGTGTCAACCACCTCCGCTGCCAGAACTCCAGCTTCTGTCTTGCCAGCTCGTAGAGGCCACTGAAAGATTTATCTTGGCCTCCATTCCTTATTATGTAACTTGTCAAATCCCTCCAAAGTACAAAACAGATGAATATGGAACTCACCACAGTATGTTTCCTTTCTTCTCTAGAATTTTGGACCCTTGATTCTTGGCTACTATACTTGATTTTTTGACTCCTTGAAATGGATTTTTTTTTCCAACTAGCTTTAGTAATTGTTTTCAGCAAGAGGATTAGTTTGATAAAATTACTACATCATGCTTGTAAGTAAAACTAGTGCTCATATTTTATTTACAATTGTACAGGATGTCAATGTATGAATATACCATCATTTATTGAACTAGTCCTCAATTATACACTTAGGTCATTTTCAATTATTTTGCTATTATTGACAATGTTGCAATGAATAATCTTGGATACTATCACATGTATACACACACACACACACACACACACACACACGGCCAAACTCATTGAAGGGGCATTTTCAATTCAAAAATATATGCATTTGTAATTTTACAAGCTGTGATTGTTTGCCAATAGCATCCCCAGTTATTGCTCCCTTTAAGGTCCCAGAGTTGCTCACAACAGTTAGCATTCTGATGAGGTTTTCTCACTCTGTGAATGAATGTTCACTGTTGGATTTTGAGATCTTCCAATTTAGGGTCCTGCCACATTCTGTAGTTCTGAGCACTGTTTGCGACTGCCCATGTAGGTTTCATTGGTCTCATTTATTTTGGCTGCGTATATATATATAGTTTTGACTCTATGTTTTGCTTCCAAGTTTTGGTGAAGATACATGCTTTTGGATCACTTTGTTTTGTTTTGTCTTGTTTTCTTTGTTGTTTCATGTAGTTTCCAGAAAGTGTCAACATTTAGAATTCAGCAGCTGGCATATTTCCATTAATATGAGAAATACATTCCTTTAAAAAATTAAATTGAATATTTTAATAATTGGAAATTTGACAACTATAAATGGCAGTACTACCAGTCTAGTGAGAAGTTTTTGCATGACTGAAACAAAATATATTGCACAAGCTTTTATAAATGTAAATGTTTGTTTCTTTTAAAATAAAGTTTTGATGTGGTTGAGGAAATTACCCATATTTTTTTGAAGAATATGGAAGAATTTTAATGTGTAATATTTACTTACAGAAATGTAAGACTACTAGGCAAAGATTTTCTAGTAGGTCATTTTGAATAACAGGAAATCTGATGTCTGCTTTCAGAACTCTGGAAATAACGCAAATTTTTAATCTCATCATGAGCCCCATAAAACGTACTTTAAAGAAATCAAAAGGTCATGATTCACACCATTAACACCCTGAGCTTTACAATTGTACCTTTGATGTGAAAGAGTCTTTAGTACTTCTTAGTTCAAAAGAATCTTTGCCTAAAGTCTATAAAAATTTTCCTTCACATCTCATTTTATTTAGTTTTGTTAGAGTTTGCAAGTCCTTGTCTAGGGAGGAGGAAATTTATCATATGCGTATCTAAAGTGACTTAGTTAGGGCCTAGGACAAGATGGCTGCATGCCTTTAATCTCAGCTCTTTAACAGGCCAGGGCAGGAGGATTGTTTGAGCCAAGGAGTTGAAGACAAGCCTGGGCAACGAAGGGGAAATCTGTCTCTACAATAAATAAATGAATAAATAAATAAATAGCCAGGCATGGTGGCCCACATTTGTGATCCAATCTTCTCAGAAAGCTGTGGTGGGAGGATTGCTTGAGCCCAGGAGTTCAAGTCTGTAGTGAGCCATGATGGTACCACTGAACTCCAGCCTGAGCAAAGAACGAGAGCCTCAAAATAATAATAAATAAAATTAAATAAAATAAAATAACCAAATGACTTAGCTAGACTGCTTAGCTCTGCTAAAAGCTGTTAAATACAAAAAGACTTAAAATAACTTCAGTTTATAGTGTTGATATCCATTTTACTGAAATTTGCTTTTGGAAGCCCAGTTACAGATTTTTTTTTTTCATCATTGACTACAAATTATCAGGTGGCTGAGGAGGAATTAGTGATTTCTGTTTGCCTCACTAGTGATTTTCTATCACTTTTTACTATAGCATAATGCTAAAACTGAGTAAAAATAAAACATATGTAATGTTATAATTGTTCAGAGCTCATTTTGAGGAGTGGTATAGAAATTGTACTTTATGTCTTGTGTAAAGTGGTCACAAATAACATATTTAATGTGAAATGAGCTATCTACTACAGAAAATAGGACTGCAACACAGTATGTTTTCTGTAATTTCAGTGGCACTACTTTTAGTCAAGAATTGGGCAGTTTGGGGAAATAGAGAAAATAATCTTGAGACATACTGAAAGATTTTTATTGTTCGGTTAACAGAACAATTCCTAGATGTACAAAGATGTCTAACCAGATTAGAGTAAAGATGTCAGGATCTTTTGGTAGATTAACTGCTAGAATACAGACAGTCCTGAATATTCAATACTTCACTCTAAAATAGACTTTGTGGTAAATGGTTTTGCCCACTGTAGGCTAATACGTCATGACCACATTTTAGGTAAGGTAAGTCATGATGTTCCATAGGTCAAGTGTATGAAACACATTTTTGACTTATGATATTTACTGGGTTTATCAGCATGCAAACCCATTGTAAATTGAGGAGTATCTGTGTATTAGCAATCAAATTGATAATTAAAGCTCCTGACTGAGAGTTAACAAGAAGATAGATGCTGGTATTTATGGAACATCAATTTAATAAATGGCAACAATTTGTACCTTTTGTTTTCTTTCAGAAACAGTTGGCCACCTATTTTTTAAAAAGAATATTTAAAAATTCTTTACATTTAGTATTTTATTATAAAATAATACAAATTTTTAAAAAATAGTTACTAGTGTAATATGAATAGTCTTAAATGTCTAGAGAAAAGCCTACACATGTAAGTAGAAAGCTTGCATATGTAATCATAGAAATTTTGAACTTGAAGAGACAATCCTGCAATTTGACAAATAGGATAACTAAAGACTAGAGCACCTCACTGACTTACCCAAATCACAAACTTGTTAAAAGCAGAACTTATATATTATTTAGATAATATATAGACAGCAAAATAAAAAAAAGTCATGTCTAGTTTTACTCTATGATGATACTGATTGAATAACATGGTAATGGGGAAGGGCCATTTACTACATGTTATGAATTAGTTCATTAAAGCTATATATTTATGCCATAGTTAACATGTCCACTGCCTTCTAATATTTTTCAATTTCTTTTAATTTTTCTAGTCCATTTTATTCAATAATTTTCAATGGTGTGTTCTTTATTTTAATCTTTAAGACAGCAATTCCTTGATGTGTAGTATTTTTCTATTGACCTGAAGTTGTGCATTTTTGTAGAGGACTACGTGCTCGCAAACAGGGTGTTCCCAATAAGTCCTGCTCTTGCAAACGAAGCAGGGCGTTCCCAATAAGTCCTGCTCTTGCAAAGGAAGCAGGGCGTTCCCCATAAGTCCTGCTCTTGCAAACGAAGCAGGGCGTTCCCCATAAGTCCTGCTCTTGCAAACGAAGCAGGGCGTTCCCCATAAGTCCTGCTCTTGCAAACGAAGTCAGGGAAAGGTCAGAAAAACAACAATGTGTCTTGTGACTTGGTAACATTCCACAAACGACTGTAAAAATAAAGCAGAGTGCATGATTTGAGGCGGCCGCCATGTTTGTCTTGTCTTGTGTTGTCTTGTGTGTTCATTCCTTTGTTTAGGAAATACGTGGACCCCAACATCTGGCGCAGTGAGCAGGGTCTGTGGCTCCATGAGAGCAAGGAACCAGAGGGGGAACACCCCGGGCAGGTAAATAAAGGGGGACTCACGGAAAAATTATGGGGAATTCCACCTCTCTGGCCTCTGAATATTTGTGGTTACTGCAGGGACTGTTGATGTCTATAGGAGTAGAAGTTAGTTAAGGAACATAAGACTTTGAAGTGATTGTTTGCCCATGTTGAACAACATTGTTATTGGTTTCAATATCAAACCAAAGTGCAGTTAAATCGAAAGGAATGGTTACAAGTGGTTAAAGTACTGCGTCGAGATCATTAGCGAGGGCAAATGATGCCTCTGACTTTGTGGACTTTGTGTGTAGTTCCATTACTCAGGCATTAGAGTTACTTGAAATTGACTCAGAGAATGGAGATACTGCCACAGGAGGTGAGGCATCTGAAGCTTTAGAGAGGAATGATCTTAGAGAGGAACATGTTTATGCCCCGGTTGTTGAGGACAAGGAATTGGAAAAAGAGCTAATGCCTCCTTCATCTGAAGGAAATTCTGATTTGCAGCACATTTTAGAGATGTTACAACAGTTGTTAAAATTGTAAGATACCGCTGCTCCTGTTTCTCCTATCTCTCCGCCATGAGCCTTCCCTGTTACCTTCCCTTCTGCTAAAATGATTTCCCTTTGCCTCCACCTCCAACCTCTTTGCCTATGTCAGGTCAGGTTTTCTCTGTGCCTCTTCCTCCTGTAGGAGAAAAGAAGGAATCGAAGGAAAAGGATGATTTCGAGGAATTAGATTTATTCCCAATAACACGGGCTGCTTTTGGCCCCAATGCTCAGTTCCCAAACGGTGGCCAGAATGTGACTTTTACAGCCCTACAATTTAAATTTTTGAAAGAAATGAAAGCTGCAATTTCTAATTATGAACCTCTATCCCCTTTTGTCCTTGGCCTTCTCGATTCCTTCTCTTCAGAATATATGATGATTCCTATTGACTGGGAAACGTTGGGACAGGCTGTCCTTGATCGTTGGCAATGGCTTCAATTAAAAAGTTGGTGGTGGGAGGAAGCAAGAGTATAAGCTAGAAAAAATGCTACGCGAAATCCCCCAGGGCTACTGAAGAGCAGCTTACGGCCTCAGGACAATACCCCACTCTTAATGCTCAGGCAGGCCTAGATGATATTGCTCTCACTCAGATTAAATCCTTGTTTATAAAAGCATGGACTAAGGTTGGAATAGTGGGT